TTTTGATTACATATTCATCACAACAACACATAAAATCACACATATATGCATAAAATCATACATAACACACACATACACATAGATCTACACATTTTGCTTGTCTTCTCCCCCATAAAACTTGTAAAAACCGAAAAAGAGAGGGGTATGAACTCACCTTTGCTTGTTGTTTTTTATTTAGAAGGAAGAAATGAAGAAAAACTTGGTCCTAGCAAGCCTTCTTGGAAGATCTCGAACTTAGAGATTTTCTAAGATGGGAATCATGAGTTTAAATGAGTTAAGAAGATATTTTTGATAAAACAAAGAATCTAGACCATGGAGCCAAGCATGAACTTACCTAAGATGATGATTTTTGTAGAATAACTTCCTTGAAGAGCCCTTAAATCTCAAATTTTTTGGATGAACAAGCAAGAGTGTTCCTTTGAGAGTGTTTGAGTGAATTGTGTGTGTGTGTTTTCCCCTTGGGGTTCTCGGACAAAGAAGAAAAGAGAGAGGAAAAGTGATAGGGATGAAAGGATAGGTGCTTGGAAGTATGGGATATTTGCATGGACGTCCCATGTTAATAATGGTGAGATGGCAAGTGAAAAGTCAACTCTCCCTCCTTCATTTGTGTGGTTGGGCTGAGAGAAGGAGAAGAAAGAAAGAAATTTGGGCTTTTTGTGCTTAAGTCCATTTTATGGCCCAATTAAATGATTTTTGGCCCAATTGGTCTTGGGAGAGAGTTCACGGTCCGAAATAAATCAAGAAATGATTTTTATGATCCATTAGGGCTAATTTGTTTTGTTATGGCCCAATAAGGTCCATTAGGGTATTTTATTTCATTCTAGGCCCAATATGGCCCAAAATGTTAAAATGAATGGAAGTGGGTCCAATTAGAGCCCATATAAGAGTTCTAAGCCCAAGATAGTCAAATTGGAAGCTTATTGGCCCATTGGGCCCAATAAGGAAATCCTAGTCCAAAATGGACTTAAACCGGGATTTCTAGGGTTTCCAATTCTTTGTTGACTATTTGTAGTGCTTGCATAAGGTGTTTGATTGAAGTTTTGTTGTTATTGAATAAGCATCATACATGCTTTCACATTTTTGGTTCACAAAGGTTGGTATAATTGTTGTTGTTACAAAACATCAAAATTCCTGGTTGTGACATGAAGTAAGGAAGCATCTGTGTTTCAAGGCACTGGAGGCTTGGAAATGTAAGCATTGTTCAAGCAAGGCTCTTTAACCACCTTATTAGAATCAGGAAGGTTCACATGTTTGGCATGATGAGTAGAATGAAGTCACTTTGGAGAAACCGTGTCTGTAAGGTTGTTCGACTGGTCCTGGGGAAAGAATTGGGGTTCCACATGTTCTACTTTGGTGATGGTTACTCCCTCAGATGAAGAAAGATCCCTCTTACGCTTTGATGAGGTGCTCACCTTTCCTGCAGGCTAGGATGTCACACCCCTAAACCAGGATGGCGGAAACGTCTGGGGGTGGATAACTTTCATGAACGGTACCATAACATAATGTACAATAGTGAATCAATTCAAACACAACCATCATAAATATAATTGACAATATTACATTGTTTCCAAGTATTGTATGTTTCAAACCAATTACATTATGATGAAAAAAATAGATAGTATGACGCTATAACGTCCCATCCTCAAAAGCCTTGTGGTTACCTGTTTAACAGTTCCCTGAGAATACAAGTAATTTTGAAAAGTGTCAACAATTAAGTTGGTGAGTTGATAAGAGTTTTGTATGTGAAAAATCTGTAACTTTTTCATTGTAAAATGATAATGTACGTTCCCATAAAATCAAATGTTTTCTTAAAAATGAGTTGTAGTCTTAAATGCCCTAAGACTGAAAAGGTATAAGTATTTTTATACTTAAAATAGTATTATGTAGTTTTATTCTTATATAAAACCGTTTGAACGCATGTTACCCCATAAACCAAATGTATTGTTGATTCCCCATGTTAGTTATTACAACCATGGTAAAACCGAAGTTGGTCTGCTACGATGTTCTTCAGGCGTCGGAATGTTAGACATTTATCACCCCATAACTGTTGGTCTAGCTGTAGCTAGCAGCTTAGGTGCGGGATTATCAGTCATGTATAGATCTATACACAGGTGCCACGCTCTCTTACCGAGATTCTGGTTATAATTCATGACCTTAGTGTGTATTCTGGTAGGTACGGTGAAGACTGTGTCTCACATAATTGTTTCAACAAGTTTATGTATAGGGTAATAAAAACCCTTGTAGGTGTAAATATCAACTTTTCATAGTATTTACATAGTGTAAAAATAATTATATTTTTATATAATTATTCTTATTATATCAAAACAGTAAAATAGTGTCATTGACCTATAAACTATACCTATTATAGTTTATTACAGATGTTTTGTTATGCCCATATATACTCACATATATATAAGTTAACATGTTTAGATGTCCCTAAATAACATATAATTTACATCTAACACAAGTATATGAACATTCAGTATGGTGATGCCAATTTGCTAGTTCCGGCCCTTATATGTTTAAAACAACATATTTTAGGTCAAATCTCACAAAAATGGTATGATAACCTAGTCATGACCATTTTTGCTAGAAACCCTTACTTTTACATAAAAATGGTGGGTTTTTAGGTTTTTTTTTTGCCAAAACCCCGAAAAAGATAGGTTTTCTTTTTGTAAAACCAAATCCTTGGTATTTTTAACTGGTTTCATAACACATGTCCAAAATAACATATTTTGGTTTGTATCCCACAAAAATGATGTAATAACTTGGTTAAAACCATTTTTGCTAGAAAAGTCATATTATGTTCATAAAACCCATAGTTTTTATAGTTTTGTTTTTGTGACCTTTTCTCAAGAATATATATCGTGTTTATACTCACTTTTCATAGTTTTGAATTTTAAACAACATGCCACACATAAATGTTCATAACACTAGGTAATAACATTATTTCAAGTAAATAATACTTTTACACAACTTGGAGACAAAGCATGTCTAACAACTTGTGTTATTATACAACTATACTTATATTCCCCCCCCCCCCCCTACCTAAAACTTGGACAAAAACGAAAATGAGTGGTATGAACTCATATTGAGTGTGTTTCTTAGTGGGTAAAGAGATGAAGATGAAGGTTTTCAAGCTTAGAACACTTGAAGAAACTTGAAGAACACTTAAAGATCAAAATATCCTATGGATATTAACACATGTTAATGTGTGTAATTGCAACAAAACTAGTATATATGTGTGTAGAATCACTAGATTAGTAAGGAAAAGCTTACCAAAAGATTAAGAACCAACTTATGGAGAATTAACCTTGAGAATAAAACATGTTCTTGAGAGGATAGAGATGAAGGATGAAGAAGATGAAGATTGTGAAGTGAAAGGGGGGGGGGGGGGGGAAGGGTAAGTTTAAAGGGGAGGGGAGGTGTGGATGGGTAGGGTAGGGTAGGGTGTAGGGTGTATGGGTTGACTTTTTTTAAAATACTATTTCTATAATAAAGATTTCATCACCATATAAGACAAAAAGTGTTTCTTTTGTTTTTTTTTTTATAAAAGAATGAGTAATTTTATAAAAGTTGGTGATTTTTATAAAAAGTATGGTAAAAATGATGTATATTTACTTAATTTAAATCATTTAAATCCAAATTATTATAAAAATCATTATCATAAAAATAATAACACATTACATGAAATTTAGGATAATTCATAATTCTTTTCGTTAACGTTTGAGTGTTTAAGCCGAGTATAGAATCTATCGCATTTGATGACGAATTCACCAAAAATTTGTATATGTAACCTTTGTTATGAATTTTTCATGTAGTGTAAGGTTTATGAACTCCATTACATTGTGTTATGACTATAATTTATACCCAAATAATATACAATTGAATTAGCGGGTTGTTACGTTACTAACCCTAATTAGGGTTTATATTCGATAATTGGCAACTAGAGAAGTACTTTGTATTATAACTTGTCAATAGTACATTAGAAACACTAGAAAATATCACATTTCTCCTAAAATCCTAATACTTTTTGAATTGACTTGGTTGACTTTGTTTGATCAAAATTGATTGTTGCCATATAGGAAAATGAAAAAGGTGGCAGTTTACCTTTATCGTCCTTCTTTTTTTTTGTCAAAGGGAGACGACAAGATCACAGTGGGATCGCCATACTCTGGTTATGCGTAGGAGTCAATACTAGATTGAGACTCCATTACTGCTTCACCTTTGGTATGAGTTATAGATCTCATGGTAGGCCCCTCAACAACCTTGGAATATGGGTATTATGTTTTTGGAGAAGGCGTTCAAGAAGCGTGTAGATTTTATGGCAAGTTGGAGAATCGAGTCGTCAGGATCATACCATTTGATATAATTAGCAACCAATCGGTCTATAGTGTACTGATCATCTACAGTAAGTTCGGGGTTAGGTCCATGGTCACGGTTTATGAGGCTTTCAAAATGCATAGCAACTTTAAAAGAAGATGCATCTACAAAGAAGAACTCAGTCTTCCATTTCTTGATAGAGGTGGGTAACCCGTCGTGTATTTCGATAACTCCGGAGGGCAAAGGAAAAGATATCCAATCGCCGCTTTCCATAGTTACATAAAACTGACGAAACAAGATAAAGACGAACCTATGTTTAGGGATTTGTTCAATAACACAAAACACATGATTTTTTTGATGTTGTTGGGAGTAATTTGGGCAACGTGGAGTTTATAATACCCAAGAATGGAATTTAAGAACTCAAAGAAGGGTAGGCGGAGTCCAGAACTGAAGAACACGGTGTAAACACCAACATAGCCTTTTGGAGAGATGTTAACAGGCTGGTCCATAGAAGGTAGAATGGACTTGAATTGGCGATCAATGTGGAAAGACTTGATGATTTCATCCGATAATCCCTGAATCAAAACAGAGAAAGCTGTGTCGACGAGATGATTATCTTCCACATGATAAAGGGATGAAGGAAGAAATCAAAGAAGTTACAAGAATTAGAAGCATAGAGAGGAGATGGAAGTTAAAATCGAAGAAGCAGTTAAAGAAAAATGATTCAATCGTGCCCGATAAATAAGGGGCAATTAGTAATTTCGAGGTAACGGTAATAAGATTGGTAATGATGAGTCATAGGGAAGCGGAACGGTTGAATCTAATACCTTATTTGATAGAAAATCCAATCTATAAGAGGCCGATGTTGATAAAAGAGAAGTAAATTTGAATTATTAAAAGAGTAAATTACACGAATGGTCCCTATGGTTTAAGGTAATTTGCGAGTTTGGTCCTAACTTATTTTTTTAACTCGGAAGGTCCCTACTATTTGTTTTTGTTACGTGCTTGGTTCCTATCTTACTTAAAAAGATTACTTTGCCTTTGATATTTTAATTTATTTAAATAAACACACTCCGAACCCCACCCTCTCACCTCACCTTACCTACCCCACTATTTTTTTCCTATTTAAATAATATTCTTTTTAGTTAAGACATGGACCAAGTGCGTAACAAAAACAAACAATAAGGACCAAATGTGTAACAAAAACAAATAGTATGGACCTTCTGAGTTAAAAAAATAAGTTGGGGACCAAGTGCGCAAATTATCCCAAACCATAGGGACCATTCGTATAATTTACTTTTATTAAAAATAATCCGAACTTAGGGGACTTAATGAGGTATGCCACCTCCGAATAGAAGTGGTTCGTGATGGGTTTTGATCATAAGACATCCTATGTGCTCATACAAACCCTAATGCTTGGATCTAGGTTTCTCTCTTGTACATGCTTTGAATCCAAGACTATAAACCTTAATTCTAGCATATGGAAATCAATATTAACATATAATTAGGTTTAAGATATTACCTTGATTGTTATGTAGTAATAACAATCCCAATTCCTCCTTGAATTGACTTTGGAAGGATTAGAGTCACAAGTGTCACTCCTCTAATGGTTCAACACCATAAGCAAGAGGATGAAGAGGAGAGAGGATGGAGGCTACCAAAACTCGTGTGAAACCCTAGCAAGAAGCTTAGCCATGTTTTTGGTCCGTAAGGGATCTATATATAGTGAGGCAATTAGGGTTATCTAACAAGGAAACCCTAATTTGGTTGCTTAAGCCCTAAGCAACCCATGGAGCCTTTTACTTAAGGCCTTGGACGATTTCATATGGGCTTCCCCATTAGAATTTGTCCACCTTATAATATAAGGCAATCCATGGCCCAAATTGCGATTATCTTATAATTACAATTTCAGTCCCTCAAGTTTAATTAATCTCTTTTAGTCACAAAACTAATTACCAATTAATTATTGACTAATATTAATTAAACAATATGATTTCTCCTTTAATATATTATTCCCATAATATATTAATAAATCATATTTAATCCTTTCTCTCCATAATTCATCCTATCAAGTTGCTTTGGTGAAGGCAACCCAAAAGGACCATGCAACATCGGGTCAAGTACATACCAAAATAGTTATGGACTTAGACACTAATCCAACAGTCTCCCACTTGGATAAGTCTAACAACTATTCTGCGTATGACTTCAGATCTTGATCTGCAATCATAGCTTTCCAAAGCCGCTGTCAACTCTGATCCTATCAGATACGCGTGTTCTTAGATAAGGGATCATATATTCCTCCATTCTAGATATCATATGAGATATGATTTCAAATCATTCTCTTTGTACTATATCTCGATTTCCGATTTATGACGACTGACTAATTGAACAAATCAAATTAGCCCTAGCCCGGCCGAGCATTTACGTTTGTCATCATTAAACCATCGAGGGGCCCAAAGATATCGATTTTATTCTACTTTGAATAAAAGGAATGGATAACCTTTGATACAATGCTCGCTTGCACTCACCCACCGAATTACACACAACAATATGTTTTATAACACCAAGTTACTGGTGCGTTTACATATTATCAATGTGCAACCGATTTGCAAGATACAACTCACACATCTCGGTTTCAAGAATATAAGATGTTATCGTCTCACCAATCACTCGTAATACAATTCATGGAGTGATCCAAGTGAGCGTGGGTTTAATCCAATGCTCAAATCATATTCATAAGCACTCATGAACGTTGCAGCAAACATTTGCTTATGTCTAATACTCTTCTAGACAATCCACACACCAATTCACGACAGTCTTCATTCATATTTACTTCCAACATATGAATGACTGTGGCCCGTTCGAATAATTTGATTATTCTTAATAAACTCAATTATTCTGGAAGTCAAAACATGCAAATGTGAAACACAAGAATAATACTAATCCCATATGGCCTCAAACCTTTGAGTATAAATAAAACGCCTTTTATTTATCACCATATTGATTACTCATTATTTGTCGTTTCGGGTAATCAACTTCTTACTTGAATTATTACACTTGTCCCATGCACCTAGCATGCACACAATGTTTACCTATGGTTCTTACTTTTTGAAATAGACAAATTGAACACATTTCCAATCATTCTCATTTTACAACTCCAAATCCTTTTTTCATAAGTGTAAGAATATCAAATTCTTGCTACTTATAGAATATGCTAGATTCTAACACTTTACGCCACGAACCTTTCGTAATGTCGCTGCACCAAAGTCACAAAGACCATTGCCAATGATATTACAAAGTCTTCTATCGAGATTGTTACAAGACAATTCCTTAGATATTATGTCTTAAATACATTCCTTTGAACATCCTTTGCATAAAAGTTTCTAATCTAGACATAGATTTTCAATATTCAATTCCCAATATAGACACGCTTCCATATTGTCCATATGACAACTCATTCTTAATAGAATCTTATGTATTCGTAATGATGTCGATATGGTCCATCCAATATGAGAACATTTCCATATCTTCCAATACTATACTTCCAACTACTCACAAGCGACCAATCCTCGTCGAACTTTGGATTGTCCTTTGATAGTTGTTTAATTATTTTAGTCAAAACCAATTCTAGTCCATTTTCCCTCTAAATGTGCTAGACATTTGGAAAATTTTAGAATGGTCAAACATTAAAGCATTTGCAATCGATCCTATACCCGAAGCGTATGGGACACGACGCATAATGTTTTATTTGCTATGTTCTCAAAATTCGAATTGTGAAGAGGAATGCCGTAATCATAATCGAAATTTTAAGAACACACTATATACCTTTGACTAAATTTATTAACATTTCTCAACCTAATCCTTTAGATTTGAAATGAAGCATAATATTCTCTCCCTTAATTATAGAAAAACAACTATTCCATCCTTACGACTTTGCAAAGAATGACTCTTGTTTTCTATAATTAATATTGCCAACTTGCAATACTTTCCTTAATAATCATATAATCATAACATTTATGCTCCCACTATCATGATGATTATTATAAAACATAACACTTATGCTCCCACTAGCTTCGACATGTATTCATAAACATCTTAACTTTCAGAAAAACAATACCTATTGAATTTCTTAAGTCCATGTTTCTAATATTGGTGCTTTGATAATCTTTTATCAAGGCTTCTTGAACTTATACACCTTTGCCTTCGATAGTTCATATGTGTTTTAAACACTTAAGACTAATTTCCAAAGCCTCACAATTCAAATTATGGAAAGGGATACCGTAACCATAATTGAATTCGAGATGCAATTTTACAATCACTATCTTCTTAAAATCTTTCTTAGTGAAAGCATTTCCTCACAATCATTTTCATGAAGGAGGAAATCTTATGACACTTAGATTTGAGCGGTGTATGTGTTCCTATCCATGTGAATTTGTTGAAACCAAAGTTTACAACAAATTCAAACTCATATGGACCGAACTTTCTTAATCTTGATTTCTTGCCTTTATGTTAGCACAACTGCCCACCATGTCTTCCAAGTAGTTAAGCAGCTCACCCTTTCCTATCAATGTACCTTTCATTGATTAAGGTGCTTTGCCTTTTATGCGTTCAAAATGAGAACTCATAGAACTCACATGCATAATTAACTTAATTGGAACAGCACATAATCAAAATATTGTCAACACGATAGGTTGTAAACCTCAACTCATGTGCTAGTGATGATCGTTAAGGTATATTTGATTTGTTCTTGAAACCTTTCAAGACCATTAAGACTCCCACTGACTCCTTGATATATAAGATTCTCTTGTCATTAACCATTTCTTGATAAACAAATATTCAAGAGTTAGTGTAGCTTTTATCAAAACACTTCATAGATTGGTCCTAGTTGGTCTTTGTCTTATCCAAGACATCACAACTCACCATATGAATGTTATAAACCTTCTTAATACTTTTTCACTCGATGTCACAATCTTAACTTTAAGACTTGTTATTGAAACGAAGTATGATTGACTTATTGATTTAACCATTTCTTCAATTCTTGATTCCTCTTATTAGACATACAATTGTACTAAGACTCACTTAGAGGATCAATTGAGATATGGTTCTTAATCATTAAGACCTATCATAAAGCATAAAAGCTACTCTCCCTTCTTCTTAGAATGGAGAAACTTTTATCTTTCTGCCTACTTGATTCTTCTTATTCGTTCTGCTATTGATCTAAACCCTTTAATCAATTCAGAATTACACTTAATCTTGTAAGTATAATCATATTTACTAAGCTTTTAGTAAATCATGACGAATATCATTGTTACTTTTATGGTGGACTTGACCAACACGCAACTTTGTGTACTTGATCTCCTAGTCCTTCACTTGACACTTTATCAATGAATTAGTCTAATTTCCAAATATGAAATTTCTCATTCATCATGTAACCAAGATGCATGATTCCAAGTTTCTGTCCAATTGAAAATTGGGCGATGAGAAACTCTCCTTATTTGGTAAATTCTCG